AACATGTAAATGTAAGGTATCATGGTCTGCAGAAATGTCCAGTGCCAACATTTTTTCTGGCTATCGGGCTGGAATGAGATGCGGGGGAGGGAGTGGACAGCAGGATCCAGCTGCTGTTTGTGAACACCCAGGGCTCTATAAATCTGAGTCCAGGGCAGGTGTGGTAGAGCCAGGGGAGAGGAGGCCACACTGGCCCTTACCCTGACCCAAACCTCCTGACCTTCTTTCTTTCTGCTTTAACCTAAAGTGCAGACAGGCAGGGAGGCAGCCAGGCATCACACACACACACGGTTCAGTGCTCACAGAGCAGTAATGAACTCACTCACACAGATAATATCTCCATATATTATCCTTAAAGCCCCCATTATCTGAGCCAGCTGCCATTCATGTATTGATATCACCAGCTTTCAAAGCTTCAGTATGAGTCTTCAGAAGAGACAGTAATTATGAGGTGTAGTCACCTTGTAGTGAGGGAAGTCCCTGTTTGCATAATAATGCAGTTTCGAGCAGGGCTGCCTCGGCTGGCAGACGACAATCAATAGCGAATCATCTCTTTGCTGCACATAAAAAAGGTAATACTGTGGGAATGTCTGGCTCGCTCAGTAATTGTTAATCAGAGAGGACAGAGCTGGCTGCGGACCGTCTTTGGCTTGTGCTGGTATTTACTAGGTGGATCACGCCTGTCATTATCTTTGTTTGCTTTGCTTCACAGTAGGACCAGGACCTGTTGTCTGTTTAACAAAAACACATGTTGTAGAGGGGGATTTGTGATTTTTGAGGAAGTGCTGAGGATGGTATTTTGTGTGACCATAAATACAGTTACATTCTCATGTTTGATCTGAATTGATTTAACACTCTTAACTTTATAAAAGCCCTTTAAGGCTGGATTGTACCAACGAGGATTAACTTTTAAACCTGATTGAATCTTGGTTTAAATATAAATTCTGTTGCACCAAACTTAACAGCTAGCTTAAAACAAAGATTGAATTTAGTTTTTACTTTAAACCCAGACTGGACTGGATTCAGCAGAAATTATCAAGTTCCTCCAAGGAAGTTGAGACAGACTCAACCCAGTTGACTTTTATGATGACGATGAATTTTTGTCAATTTCAGTTCACCAAGGAAACTGTTTTGAAGCTGAACAGGAAGATCGGGCCAACTGTCAAACAGACAGTGACAGAAACACAGCTGCACCACTGATGCCCCAACTACTGGTGGCCCTGAGATTTTACAGATGTTTCCAGAGTGTGGATGGGACCTGTTTGGCCACCACAACTTGCAATATTATGCCATTAATTCAGCCAACAAGTTTTTTTCGAAGGAGGAAAAATTTTGAGCCTCTCTGCTGAGCCATCATGAGTACCATAAGTTAGCAACTTTATAGCTAGCTAACAACAATGCTAACAACCACCACCACCACCACCCCACCTCTCTTTTATACTCGGTGCTGCAGAGCTTTGCTTAATTTAATTCTGGATTTACTCATTTTACCAAATTCTGATAAGAGCTAATCTTAGGTTGAATTAATCCTTGTTGGTGCAACCCTGCCATAGAGTTTAGAGGGCGCTACAGTCACTTTTTTTGTTTTTGTTTGGTTTTTTGCCACTTAGGAGGCAGCAGAAATCACAATCTCCCCTTAGAGCCCTGTTTTTGGTCTCCACCAACTCTAAACAGTAGTGTACAGTGCTTTTTCTAAAAGCAGCTGTGTGCTGTGTAGAGCTGCAAGGATTAATCAATTACTCTTCATATTTAAATAATCGCCAACTAATTTGATAATCTATAGATCAGTTTAAGTCATCTGTCTTTAACGGATGACGCCATTCTTTAGGTATTCTGCAATGTCTTTGCGCTTTCTTTCATGTTAAAGCATGACGGTAAAAATTTAATAATGCTTAAGTAATTATATTGTATGAAAAAAGAGTGGGATTACATCATTTTACTTCTTTACACTCATTTTGGAACACGTGGTGAGTTGTTTATCACAGTGTTAAAGCACTGCTCGTTTTCCTTTTTCAATCCATCGTGTTAGTTAGCTCGCCGTGCTCTGTTAACATAACGTTAAATAAAATGTAGCCTATTGCTTAAACATCTGCTCCTTCTAAAAAGATGACTTATGATTTCTTAGGACTCAGTAACACACACTGACACATTCAGCAATCATTTAAAATAACTGTTTTAATTTCAGCTTCATGTAAAGTGAATCAACGTGATGTTTCCCAGCTAATGTTTCGCTCGTCTGCCTTAATGATGCAGTTCACATATTTTTGTAACTACTGAAGTATTTAGTTTGAGTTCTACTGAGAGAAACATGCAGAAGACCTCAGAAATATCAGTAGTATAAAGTAGTATTTTTGATTTTTATACGATATGAAAGAAATACAGAGAGTCAGTAACACATTCTCAGCCTGGGTGGAAGTGTTAACAAATCCTGCACCCTGCACTGGTGAATATTCATGGGCTTCAAAGGATTTATAGTGTCTGAACTGTTCACAATTATACGCAGTTATACCATAAATGAGATAGTTTGTAATATCCAAGTACGAGGTTGGCATAGCAATTTTTTGTTGCCAGATTGTATGGGTCAGTGTTCAGAGATGTCACTTGAGTTTTTCTTGGTGTGATGTTCTCTCAGTTTGCTTCTGCTTCTCCAGTTTGATGGGTTGGATAACTTTTTTATTTATTATTGTTTAATGTACCGCTCACTGTAGTTATACCTTCAAAATGGCACTTCGGTGACATCACACACAATCCACACACGTTACTGACAAAGACCGACTTTTGGTCTGTGCCTGAAAACATAAATGTGTAATGTTATGTGCTGTAAACATCAAAAACATAAACTAAAAGACGTTTGCTGTGGAGCTGAAGGAATTGATGAGTCCAGTAATTACTTGGGTTCACAAGAACGACCGCTGTGCATCATTTAATCAATCGTTATTATAAAAATATTGATCATAGCAGCTTTGAGACACTTCTTGCAGTAGTAGCAAATCTTGTGGTGCTGTTTCATCGACTGGCTCTGGACAAAAATCCTGTTTTAATTACTTTGGTTTATAAATTGCTCACATGGTGCATATTCCTGAGTGGAGTTGTTTACCACAGACTAAACCGACCTGGAACCATTTAGTTTTATTCCATCACAGGAGGACTGGTTGTTCCCTGGGAGTATAATGAAGATGCCGTGTGTAGTCTGCTGTATGAACAGAGGGTGGTACGTCGGAGTTCTTTGGGTTCAACAGTGTCCCAGCAGCAGATTTTTGCCCTCAATGTGGAGCTGTAAAGATGTGAACATGCAGATATCTTGTAAAAATTCAATCCACTTCATGCATGCGTCTACACTCAGGCTCCATCCTAAATGACTTGAGCGTGTAACGCCGACGACGAGCGCACCAATGATGCAGACAGTGATACCTCAGCAGAGATGGGGATAACAGTCACCGTTGTAACCCTCGGCTAGGTACGGCTGGCAGGCCTGGAGGTGCTGATGGGTGCTGGCTGTATAAAGCAGCCTGCTGCTCTGAGAAGACGGGGCTGTCTGCTGTGTAAACCCTGCAGCACATGTTCGACCGGCCAACAAAACATCTCGGGGAGTATTTATTTTAACAGGCCAAATGATACTTCGATTTCTCTCAGGAGGAATGTTAAGGTTAAATGATTCCCCTCAGAAAGAAAAACATTGGGGTGGAAGGGGGGGGAGCAGCGGGGAGGAGGCATATAAAGGTTTCGAGTGAACTTGATGCATCCTGTGATTCAGTTCAAATGAGGAAATCAGTGTAGAGTCATGCAGCGATGAAGATGGATGCTGGAGAGGGAGCTTTGATAGAACGCAGGATTTTGTTCATTTCCTCTGCTTTAAGTCGGCCAAACGCTCCTGCCCAGGAGTGCATTTACTGCCACAGGAGCTCAGAGCGCGTCACATTATGTTCATGCACAGGTACGCACAGGGGTGTAGATTACTTATGAATGTGGGGGAGGTTTGGGGTCTTCCTCCAGAAAATATAAAGCGTCAAATACTTAAATTCCTCCATTCTGGTGAATTTTTACACACAAATTTTTGCCTTTCCTGCTCAATTTGCAATGTAAATGTCTTTCATTTGGTCAAATAATGTTTATGTTTTTATTGTGGGGGACATTTGAAATATTAAGGGGGACATGTCCCCTGCTTCCCCTCCAAAATCTACATCTATAGGTACAAACAAGACCATATAAACACATCTTAACCTACTTATAACACAAGTCTTTACTAAGTAGAGGCTATTTAAATTAGTTGTTGTTGTTTAGCATATAGTTAATATACAGTATGATAAACTAGAGCGAGGAGTAACGTGGAACAGGGTCGACACATCTGGCCCAATGCTTTATTTGAATGCTGTGTAGTAATGATGTAACCAAAGATTTGAAATTGCATTTCAGAGAAGTAACACAAATCTCTCAAATTACAAAACTTTGGGCTGAATTCACAAAAGGCTTTTCCAGCTGCTGAACCTGCATAAATAAGACAAAAAGAAACCGTGTGATACTCAGAGCACCCACAAAGAAATGCTCCTCTAACTGTTCTGCCAAGCAAACAGCATCTCGGTGCTCCTGTGCTTTTTGCACACATTTAAAGGAGGTTGTATGAACATATTTGGTGCAAACTGGCCTTTTTCAATGCAAATGAGCCTCATTCCAAAAACAGCCCAATTCACAAAAATTTGTGCTGATAGAGTGCTGCATGAATGAGTCCTTAAACTAGGAAACGTGTTAGCATTTTAGCGCTCTCAGTTCCCTCGTCTCAGAGTCAGTGGGTTTAAAAAATCAGTAAATAAATACCCAGCCCTCCCTGGCTGGGAGAGAGTTACTGCCCCAAGCGAGGGAGATCAAGTATCTCAGGGTCTTGTTCACGAGTGAGCGTAGAATGGAGCGTGGGATGGATCGGCGGTTTGGCACAGCATCTGCAGTGATGCGGGCGCTGTGCTGGCCCATTGTGGTGAAGAGAGAGCTGAGCCAGGAGAAGCAAGGAGCTTTCGATTTACTGGTCCATCTACGTCCCAACCCTCACCTATGGCCATGAGCTCTGGGTAGTGACCAAACGAATGAGGTCCCGGATACAAGCAGTGGAAATGAGTTTCCCCAGTGGGGTGTCTGGGCTCAGCCTTAGCGATAGGGGGAGGAGCTTGGACATCCGGAGTGAGTTCGGAGTAGAGCCGCTGCTCCTTCGTGTTGAAAGGGGTCAGTTGAGGTAGTTCGGGCATCAAATCAGTATCTTCCTGGGCGCCTCCTGTTTGAGGTGTTGTGGGCACGTACCACTGGTAGGGATTATATATTAGCCTGGTTCCAGACCATAGACCCCGCCCACTCAACTGAGTAGGCTTGCATCTCTGAGATGTGGAGTAGTTGGCTGTCCTATGCTCTCCTGTGCTGTGGTAGTGGAACATGATTCTCTTTGATTTTGTAGCTCTTCTCCACAGAGTGTTGACATGGCATGTTGTTTGAGGACAGCCCTGGCATGTGTAGTGGTGATCCCCATCTTGCATAGTTGTTCGAAGACTGCTTTCTTGGCTCCACCGTACTGCAGTACACTGTTGATGTAGTACGAAAAGGCTGAAAGATGGTTCTCCCTCCCTCGAAGGGCAATGGCAGCAGCTGCACAGGCATGGTTGTGTTGCATTCCAGATATGGTGCAGATCAGAGAGAACATGAATGGTGCTATCCGCTCCAAATCCTTTCTAAGGTTGTGTAAGGAGAAATTCCTCAGTTCTTCTGGGGAACTCTTCCACAGCATGAAACCCTCCCTTTGGTGGCAAAGACGCTGGCACTCCTTGTCAATAACTGTCTCCATTGCAGGCTTGAGCGCGTCTATGAGACTCTCATGCTGCACCATCAGTCTGGCTGCCGTGGTGAAATTGCCCTTTGCCAGATTATTTATCACGCCACTAATGTCAGCGTCACATCTGTACCTCTCTGGGTTTACCTTACTGGGGTAATTGATGTACACCTAAACAGGATGGAATAAAATAAGAGAGAATTTTTAATAGGATCATATGGTCACAGTTATTTAAGATAATAGCCTATAATCTGGGGGTAATCTTGTTAAATTAAACCAATTCTTTGACATGATGCTTACAGTTTAAGCCTGATTTATGGTCCTGCGTTAAATCAACGACGTACCTACGTCGTAGGATACGTGGCTACGCAGGAGGCTCGCCGTAGCCCCTGGTGTAGCCTGACCTGCACCTCCCAAAAAATGTAACTACACATCGAGGCGACGCAGACCCAGCGCAGACCGAGAGGGCTGTGATGGGTTTGCTTGGCAGCAACGCATTTCCGGTTCCGCATTTCCAGATTGCGCCATCCCCACCATCTTTAAACATCTTCTGTTGCGATGTAGATGTTGCAGTATTAACGTACTTTCTTCGACATCCAACAACTCCAACTCCAGCAAGATTCTCTCTCTCTCTGTCGCCATTGTTCACTGTGACCGGAAAAGCCGGAAGCTAAACAAAGAATCAACTAGAGACGATGATAACCATTCAGGAAAGGAACGCAGCCCCCTACCGCTCTGGCAGTGAATTGCACCGCGACGAAATGGAGTGATGGAGAAGGGTTCACGACGGCGTCACGGCAACGACGTAGGTACGTCGTAGGACCATAAATCAGGCTTTAGTCATCAATTTTCAGATCTACTGTATTAAACAATCAATTAAGTTAAAATGGGTGGGTAAACTACCAGCCTCTGTATTTAGCACAACACCCCTGCCTATAAATATACATATAAAGTTATAGTTATAACATAATTGGAGAGGGCTGGGGCGCATGGACATCAATAATTAGTTATGAGGCATTGGAATTTGGGAAAGGGAGGCAGAACTTTAAAGACATGAACTTTTTCTTTTAACTTCATCAAGTAGTGGGTCTATATTAATTACATTAACAAAGATGTATGGCATTAGAGATCAGTGCTATGCATTTACTCTTTTCCTAATTATCAAACTCAAATTCCCATTGGCTTTAAACAAAGTTAGAGGAATAATAATAATAATAGTAATATTCACACAAATAATGTATCAGAGTACAGACAACAGAGTAATGGTTTGTGCTCCTTGCTATAGCAGCACTGATTCTGGGAAGACTTAGTTCACTGTGCAGGGGTTGACATTAACTTTTTGATGCCCTTATCATCCGGACAAGCAAATGTAGCATTCACTTGACACAGTATGTCTAGCCCTTACAGACGGTTTTAAATTCCAACCATTCACCCAGTAAGGACTCATTGCGTCCTTGTGATGGCTGAAGTCATAACTTTTTAATGGCTTTATCTGTTAAGATTATTATTTTTTTGTTATGTTATTTAACTTCTCTCCCACCTTGATTGTTATAATTCAAACAATAGAATTAGTTAGTTAACCCTTTACAGGCCGGTTTCTGTGATGTACCACTCATTTTTATACAAAAAACAGCCCAAAAATTAAATATTCTCTATTTTTTTAGGGATTTTTTAAAAATGATTTAAACTGTCTGAGCTCAGGCAATGTTTATGGGGAATATCAGTTTTTATGCATTTTTACTTTTTTTGTAGTGTTAAATTGAAAACAAAAATAGCTCTCACCCAGTAAGGACTCACTGCGTCCTCATGATGGCTGAAGGTATAACTTTCTAATGGTTTTATATTTTAAGATTTTTTTTTTTTTGGTTATGTTATTTAGCTTCTCTCCCACCATAAGGACTGGGTCCTTGCAGGGTGTAAGGGCTAGCTGACTGCAGACAGTACAGGTGCTCACCTCTTACTCAAGCTCAACAGGGTCCTGGCAGTCGTGATGTTCATTTATATACATTTAAATAATCGTAAATTGATAAACTGTAATAAAGTTACCAAGTGGCACCCACCTCCCAACATTTAATCAGGGACATGAGATGATGGGGAGTAAATGCTAACGTAACTACAGTAAAATTAATATGTTATGTTGGCCGTGTGTGAGTTGTTTACCTCTGTCGTGCTGACACGAGATGCCGGGAGACACAGCTTCTTTTTCCTTGGCGTCTCCGTTGGCGTGTCACGGTCCCTCTTCTCTGTGCTTTGGCCTTCCTCTTCTTCTTTGTCCACCACGTTATGCTCAGACTGCCATTTCTTTAAAATGTTTTGGGATTCTTCAACCCTGGCAAGCAGTCTGAAACATTTCATGCAAATCCTCCCAGAATAGACGCCGGGTCTACATGGGAGGACGACACCGACATCTCTAAAACGTTCGGTTAATAACCTCTCATTCGCTTGTGAGCATCTGTATAAAAGTTTTGAATGTGTTATGACCCCCTTAACTACTAGGTTTACTTTGCATAGACGGCATGTCTTTTCAATTTCACTGGGCATGGTTTCTTTACCGCTCCACTGCTCCGCTTCTTCTTCTTCTTCTTCTTTTTTAACGACGGTTGGGAACAAGTGTATTTGGTGCATTGCCGCCATCTTCTCTTCCGGAGTGTGAATCAGAGATTAGATTCTACTGTGTAAACCTGTCCGTCTAATGCATTCAAAAAACACTCTTGTCCACTGCTCCGCTAAAGTCCCTCCTGTCATCTGTTCCCAATCACTATTCCTTGACCTCGGTGGGAAACGTCACGAGGTCAAGGAAAGACGAGCAGGAGAATTCATAAGGATTTAGGAAAACAGAACCGCGGAGCTGAGAGAATCCGACCGCACTTCCGCTGGGCGACGTCATCATGCGACGGCGGATGTCAGTGACGTAGTCGACCGCGCCGTGGTGAAACTACAGTTTACCGAAGATAGACTACAAAAAGTGCATCTCAGATACTCCGCCCCGTGCCTACTTACCGTGTTGCTTTATACAGGCTATATAAACGTGGACAGCACAGTGAATGTGATATGAAAATATGACTTAATTACCAACGTCTGAATTGAATTAAAAAAGACAGATAGGCAGTCACAAAACTGAAACGCTGAAAAATGTTCAAGTGTATGCAAGAGAGGCAAATATGTTAGGCTTACAAATCTACTACTGTAGGCTACATATCATTCTTAAGTTGCAAACATGTTGAATTAAAAACAATATATAAATAAAAACGTTTCATATCCCTTTTTCTTCAAACTTCTGTGTTAATATGCCAATCAATCATCATCTGTCATTTGCTTACAATAGTTTAAAAACGACCACAAAACTCAGTAAACACCTTGAAATGTTGACATGATTGTGCCTTGGAGTTATTTTTTAATTTGTATTTTATTTTTTTAATTGTGTTTATTGGATTTTCCATTATATTAGTGACAATAACAACACAGAAAAAAAGAAAAGAACAAATAACAAGAGCAGGGTAGAGATGTGGGAGGCTTTATTCTAAAGTGTTTGGGTGAAATTCGTTTGCGTAATAGTCTAAAAAGGGCTGCCTCCCGCTGAAGAGGTGCTCCAGCCGCACACGTGCCCTTATGAGTGCAGAGATGTCAGCATCTTTGACTGATTATAAATTAATTTATGATATTGCTAAAAGCTGGCTATTCAACATTTCTCAAATAGTGACATGATTAATGCACACTGAGCATATCTTACACCACAATATTAACTTGAATTGGGTAATGTTACAACAGTAGCGTGACGTTTATAGTTCACATGGGTTTAACATGTTGTTGAGAGTTTGGAACATATAACGTTGCGCATATTATCAAGTTATGGCATGAGACGGGCAAAGCTTCATGTAACGGTGACTTACATGGTGATCTCCGTGACTTTTCAGTCATGTTGAGAGCCAGTTGTTCTTTTTCTTTTCCTTTCGTCTCTTCTTTCGTTCTTCCTCTTCTCCTACTTCTTCGGTTTTATTCGTTTGTCTCCGTGAACGGTCGGTCGCTTTAAATATTGCTCCCGCAAAGCATTGTGGGATTAAATTATCTCCTTTCCTATCGTTTAGGAAGGTCTGATGTATTCTATGCTAAAGGAGATATGAAAGGAAGCATTGAACCTCCTTTCCTTAGTGTTTAGAGACTTCGAACAGCTCTTATCATGGTGGCCACTAAAATACTTCCGGGTCATTTCACTCAGCTAGGAACCTTCCTAAGCAAAAAAGACTTTCCGACTGACAGTCGTTGATCTCTACTGATTGGTTAAGGAAAAATCAAATTCCCTCCCCCTTGTAAATCGCCTTGAACTGAAGGATCTGGGAGCTTCAGTCTGAACATTGAACTCATGTGACCGTGGTGTAGTTTGTTTATACCTTTTTATTTCTGGCTTTTTGTCAAGGGGCAATGTTAGCCTCCACGTTGGCTGACATAAAACGTCATCCCTGCAGCGCTCTGCAGGCACACACAGTTACAGTGAAATGATGAGCGTCATCAGAGAACTGGGGGTAACTGAATCACATTTAAAAGACTTGTCACGCCCAGCGCTGACCCAAATACGAATATGTTTAAATTCCTTGCCTGAAGTTTGGAAACTTTTTTTTTCTCCCTGTCATTACTCTGTTTCCTGTGTTCTTTGTGCAAAGGCAACATTGATACTTTGCCACACAGATAATTACAATCACACGCTAAATGAAGGGTAAATATTGTACTCAGCTGCAAAACTTTATGGGCATGTTTGTGCTTTAATATCATTAGTGTGATATCTGTTGTGAATCAAGAGACAGGGCAGATAATGGCTGCAAGTGATGCACAATTCCTGGTTTGATCAGCGGCCACAATCTGTTCTTTGTGAATCTGTCCACTTATGTCACTAACACAGAAGTAAATGACTAGAACATGTCAGCTAGGTTTGCATAACCTGATCTTTCCTGCGTATTCTGAACTGCTTGAACACTAACTCTGAAACGCAGTCATTTCTCCTCAAAGAAAACAAACATTTACGAAGGACTGGCAGGTAATTATGGTGTATTTCCAAGTTTAAATTGTGATTTTTGGAAGTTGTAATGCTATAACTTGTGCTGTAAAAGTAACATCCATTTAAATGTATATTTATTTTCATTGGGCATTAAACCAGATGTTTTATATGCATCACTTAAGTCAGTTTCTTTAAGTTTTGATGCTGCAACCAGAGTTGGTAAATCATTAGTTTGGTGTGCAAAACTCTGGACGCTGCCCAGGACAAACTCATAAATGTACATTTACAGGCATCTCAACACTGAAAGCCTTCAACACACACTTCTGTAAAGCTTAGGTTAACAGTAATAAGAAAATTAAATAAATCTTGAACCTAAGACCTCGATCATTAAGCTGCGTTCTCCTGAGCCTGCATGTACACTCACCTCTGCCTAATTCACACCACATTGCCTGTTAGCAGACCTGCCTCAGCCAGCACCAAGCTCCCTGCTAACACGAACTCTATTGTCAGGAGGACAATAAAACTATGAAGTTGGAAAAAAAAGGAAGAAAAAACATAAATACATGTGGAAGCATGCTGCGGGACTGGCAGAGGGTTCGCAGTCATGAGAGGGCTTGTTGGGAGAGCGATTTGTTTTAATGAAAAAGTCATTCCTGGGGAGAGGAAAGGGCCTGGCTGCAGGCTGTTTGTTCATGGCTTAAGTTTCTCCTCTGTAATAAAAGCACCAGGACTTATGTGTCTACATGTGTGTGCAGTGTGTGGGTGAGAGCGTGGAACAGAGGAGACAAAGTAGGCAGCCAGGTTTAGAGACCCACACACACTCATCAAACAGTCAATCACCAAAAACCGGCAAAAATGTCTCTGAGAATCTGTCTGGAGCTGCGTCCACCACACACACACAGAAACAGAGAGGGGAGTGTGTGATGTGTTCTACAGCATGTATTGTTATTCCCCTGGATGTACAAATGACTAATAGACAAAACATACTGCCTACACAAACACAATATTGTTTCTTTATCAGTTCACGTCTGCGCTGATGTCTTCCTGTTTGTCTCCTTCTCTCAGACTGTGGTGGATCCAGACGGTGGGGGATGGAGCGGCCCGACAGAACAACCCTCCTGCTACCTTTTTCCCTGGAGCTCGCTGACCTTGAACCTCCGCTATACTAGCAGGAACAAGAGACAGACTGAGACGTCCCCCCTTTGTGAGACCCTGAAATACAACTTGGATGAAAGACAGACAGAACTGTGAGAAGGAGAAATAAAAGGAGAGTGAGACAGACAGAACGTGACGTGTTGGACATCCCGTGAGGAACAAGAGCCTCGGGGTGGTCCAATCATGAAACTGTTCATCTCTGCGGGCCCCCCCTCCAGCCTGCTGCTGGTCCTGATGTGCTGCCCCCTGCTGGGCTTGGTCCAGTCTGCCAGCAGCAACAAGGCCAGCGATAACGGACACCCGCACCTGGGAGACTCCGACCCAGAGCGCTGCATGAGGCACCACTTTGTGGAGACCATCACACACCCGATTTATAAGTGCAACTCCAAGGTAAGGCAGAAACAGATGCAGATACACACCATTAGCCAACCTGCCTCATTAACAACTTGTTTAACGTAATGAGCCAGCCAACCTGACAAATGAACTCATTTGTTACAGATATCAGGGAAACAATTTGTTCCAAAGTAAGCCTCGCAGACGGAAAGAAAACCCCAGAGCACCGGCCAAAAAAAATCCTCCAGCACTAACTTTATTTATGTCTGACACATTTTTCTCTTTCTACTAGTATTACTCTTGTTGCCACTGAAAGCCTCCTCCGTTTGGCCAGTCCAGTGTCTCTTTCTACGGTGGCCAACAAGGGCAGACGCTCCACAGCAGGCCAAAATATATCGATTAGGAGAAACGTGCTCCAGCTTTAGAAACTCTGCCAATTCAAAAACACATAAGGAAATCCAAAACAAATAAAACAGAGGGAATGTGCTGCAGAAAGCCAAAACAAAAACATTAACAAATACAAATACAGAAAAGATACAAAGCCAAAAGTACAACTGGGGTCTGCGTCACTCCCATAGACCATATATCAAGATGGACGACCTGTCTGCACTTATTCCCACTGTACAAAAATAAAGCCAAAATGTTCCTCATATGGTTGCTGCCATCTTGTGCTGGTGATGCCATTTGGAGCCAAATTTATATGATGACATGGAGGGGGCGGGGTTTATGACCTATACTGCAGCCAGCCACCAGGGGGCAATTGAGATGTTTTGGCTTCAATTTTTGGCTGCAGTGTTTTGAGACTGGAGCATGCGCAGTCATTGTGCTTGCTATGCATCCAGTTCGATCATAAAACAGATACGTCATACTAGTGTGTGAGTAGAGAATTGTAAAGACTGAGATGAAATGTGGCGGCACGGTGACGCAGTGGTTAGCATTGTTGCCTCACAGCAAGAGGTTTCCTGGTTCAAACCCCAGGGTGGGGGAGCGCTTCTGTGCAGAGTTTGCATGTTCTCCCTGTGTCAGCGTGGGTTTCCTCCAGGTGCTCCAACTTCCTCCCACAGTTTGGTTGTCTGCCAAATGTCAGCTGGGATAAGCTCCACCCCTTGCGACCCCCTACAGGATAAGTGGTTGCGGAAAATGCATGAATGAGATGATATGTGATAAAAGGAATAGGTACCTTTTTATGTCGCCTTGCCTTTTATTTCAGTTTCCTATCCACTTCAAAAACAAACACACTCTTTTGTCTGCTCCACGGAGGTGTGGTCTCTCCTCTTCTGGGCCAAAAATCAAGCTACCCCTCTGAGTGCTCCCCCTACAGGCTTGGAGGACTTAGCTATGCAGCGTTCTCCTCCTGTTGCATTTGTTTTAATGTTTGCAGCACATTTTTTCACCTACAGCACATTTCCGTTGTTGTATTTGTTTTGGATTTTTTTTATGTGTTTTTCAATTTCTAAATCTGCAGGATGTTTCTCCTGATGGAAATGTTCTGGGCCGCTGTAGCACGTTTGCCCTTGACGGCCACCGTATATTTCTTCCCTTCTGTCTCTTTATCTGCATCTCTCTGACGAGTCACGCTTCGTTTCTGTGTGTGTATGTGTCGGTGTGTGTATGGTGCTGGACGTGAGCCACGCTGCAGACATATTCTGCACCTCAGCTGGGACTCACTTTTGGCCGAAGTGGACATCTCCCTGTCAGCCCGCTCTCTCCTGCCTCTGCCAGCGGCTAAAGAGTGGGCTGAGGAGAGAAAAAGAAAAGTGGACAGTTACATGATACACAGGCGTGGTGCGTCGTTCTGTCTCATACTGTGAAGACAACTTAGAGACATCCACTTCATGTAAAGAGACTGATGATCCTCTGAATCGCGCCAAACGTGTCGACACTATTGTGGAAAAAGAAGCTGTCAGTTTTCACCCTGTCCTTTTGCTGTGCAGTTGTTCCGCCTGCGTGAGTGATCAGTTCTTTGGTCTTTTTTTAATATTCTGACTCTGAGTGCATCGAGCAGGTGGCCAAACCACAGCTCGGCTCAGGGACGGCAGGGCTGAGCACACTCACAGCATGAGTCGGGCTTTCTATTACAGTACACAGAGCTGACGGGACGCCTGGCTGGGCCACAGTTTTACACCTCAGTGTGTTCAGTTAACCACCTGTACCAGGACCTGCTCATGATCTCTGTGTGTGCGTAAAGTGCGTGTGTAGGTGTCTCTGTGTGTGGCAGAAGATGTGGGAGAGGGTTTTATAGGTTGAATATAATACAGGTTCATGTCACAGCCAGCAGTTGTAAATGTTCAACCCAGCTGCCGTTTGGTTGTTTGTTGGTCTTGAGCAGTGGTCTGCAGTTTGGCAGGTGTCTCGCTTAGATGTCAGGCCATCCATCATCCCCTCCACCTACTGATGACAGAGTCAGCTCATATGCTTTGTCACTTTAAAAACACTGATATGATACGTATGAAACGTGCAAATGTAACGTATTCATTGTTTGCAGAAACGTACGATTCCAACATTTTCCTCTGGCGACTGATAGGGGTGGGCGATATGGCCCTAAAATAATATCACGATATTTCAGGGTATTTTTGTGATAACGATATTCTTGACAATATGACAAATAAGGTAAGAAAAAGTATTAATTTAAGAAAATAGAATTGCAACAAAATACAGTTCAAATATTCTGTAAAAACTAAAGAAAAATCATCTCTCATTTCTTTAGTTTGTGAACAACAACAGTAACTCAGAGTGAGATTCAGATTCTGTCACAATATTAATAGTTCAAGAAAATAAAATCTACCACATATTACACATTTTAAAAAATGTCCCCTGGGATCTATATACAGTACAGGCCAAAAGTTTGGACACACCTTCTCATTCAATGCGTTTTCTTTATTTTCATGACTATTTACATTGTAGATTCTCACTGAAGGCATCAAAACTATGAATGAACACATGTGGAGTTATGTACTTAACAAAAAAAGGTGAAATAACTGAAAACATGTTTTATATTCTAGTTTCTTCAAAATAGCCACCCTTTGCTCTGATTACTGCTTTGCACACTCTTGGCATTCTCTCCATGAGCTTCAAGAGGTAGTCACCTGAAATGGTTT